TGCTGGCGTGTGGCGCCCGCTGCCTGGGGAAGAAGGCCGAGGCCACCTGCTTTTAGAAGAAAATAAAAGGAGTTATGCTTTCTGGTCGCTATCAACTGGGACTAGGTAATAGATCAGGCGATCCTGTCAGTGTATGTAAGTACGTGGAGGGAGGGGTGCAAAGAAGATGGAGCCAGGCTCTTTTTAGTGGTGCCCAGTGCCAGGACGGGAGGCAGCGGGCACAGACTGAAACGCAGGGGGGGTCCCTCTGAACATCAGGAGGCACCAGACATGGCGTGAGCATGCCTGAGCACTGGCACAGGTTGTCCAGAGAGGCTGCGGAGTCTCTGTCCTCGGAATCATTCAAAAGCCACCTGGACATGGTCCTGGGTAAGTGGCTCCAGGTGGCCCTGTTTGAGCAGGGGGTTGGACCAGGTGACCTTCAGCGGTCCCTTCCCGCCTCAGCTGTTCTGTGATAACAAGCTCATGAGTCAGTGAAACCGTAGCGCACGTTAAATTGGCATTACCTTAAAGACGACAAATAACTTGCTGTTTGTAACATCCGTTACAGTGAACACAGAACTGGTTGATACGCTGTAAAGAAACAAAGCCGCTTTGCTACAAAGTTCTAACTTTATATTAATACAAGTTAAATGAGTTTTGAACCATAAAACAGAGCAACAGAAGTTTTGTGCTGTAATTCCCATGCTTCTGTGTGGTATTTTCAAACTCCGATCCAGGGACATGCCACAGGCTACGTAACAAGTGCAGTAAAAACTCCAGTGAGATGGTTTGTCAGTCATACAACAAATCCTGAAGTCCTGTTTTCTATGTGTTCCATTTTGTGCCGTGAAGTCTGGGTGAATTTTGGGAAAAATGGTTGAAACAGTTGAAGTTGATAAAATTAGAGAGAGCTATTATCTTGAAAAAAAAATTGCACAGGTAATGCAATAAACATTATTTCAGGGTAGTGAAAAAGACCATTATCATAGGAAGTGTTTGTACGTTTAAAAATTACGCTTTTAAAACAATGTGACCTTGTTTTTTGAATTCTTTTATTTTTTGAGCAGGTATCTCTTAATCAGCTAAAATGGTTTTAAAGAAGAAGAAGGAAATTGAGGTAGATGCATTCTTTCTTGATCATCAGCAGCTTGAAAAACTTCAGAGTAAGTGGGGTGTTTTTTTCTGATCTAATGTGTAATTTCTTTGTTAGTAGAATGCGTTTGGGTAGCTACTTTTTTTTTTTCTTGTTTTATTTCTGGTGTTTTTGTTTTGTGGGTTTTAGGTGTGTTTGCTCTTTTGTGGTTTTTATTTTATAATGACAATGACTTCTTACCTTGGCAGAGGTAAAAGAATACTTTAGAGCGCTGTGTCTTTGGTTTGAAAGCTCTTTGCTTTGTTTTATTATTGGTGAGAAGGTGATAGAAGGTCCTACTTGTGATCCTGCTTACAGGGCTATTTCAGTGCTACCTGAAGTACTGGCCTTAATATGTGGGATAACACTGAATTTCAAAGAATCGCAGAATGGTTGAGGTTGGAAGGGATCTCTGGAGATCATCTTGAGTGTATTTTCCCAGTCTTTGCATTTTCTGTCATTAATTTGATTTAAAGATACTGTACAAATGCTCTTTTATTTTGTTGGGTTTTTTTTTTAATTCGATAAACTTTAAGTGATCTTTACTTTAAAAAAAAAAACAAAACCAAAAACGAGTAATACAAGATTTGTATACTAAAGTTACCATGAGGTGCTCCTTGCCTTCTAGTCAGCACTGGTGAGGCCACACCTGGAGTGCTACATCCAGTTCCGGGCTCCCCAGTACAAGAGATACGGACATACTGGAGAGAGTCCAGCAAAGGGTCGCTAAGATAATGAAGGGTCTGGAGCATCCCTCCTATGAGGAAGGGCTGAGAGAGCTGGGACTCTTCAGCCTGGTGAAGAGAAGGCTTCGGGGGAATCTTATCAATTGTCAAGTGTAAAAAATACCTGAAAGGAGGGCGTAAAAACGACAGAGCCTGGGTATTTTCTGTGTTGAACAGTGATGGGACAGGAGGTGATGGCACAAACTGAAACACAAGAGGTTCCCGCTGAACATCAGGAAACACTTTTTTTAATGTGAGGGTGGCTGAGCGCTGGCACCGGTTTCCCAGGGAAGTTGGGGAGTCTCCATCCTTGGAGGTATTTGAAAGCCATCTGGCCATGGTCCTGGGCAGCCTGCTCCAGGTAAGCAGTGGGGTTGGACCGGTTGACCTCCAGAGGTCCCTTCCAACTTCAGCCACACTGTGATTTTTGTGAAACTGGTCTTCATACTGCACATGAGGCCTACTGCTACGTTGCAGTGAACTTGTATTTTTTTTCATTTGTTAGAAAAAAAATTGGTGTTAAGATGTTGTAAGGTGACTTACGGGCACCAGTAGGTTTACTGGAACAGGAAGAAAACCCTAAGAATTAAGCAGTGCTTTCTTATAGAATATGTATTGTTTATACTGTTTATTGTGATTCCTTTCTAAAAAGAGACTCTTCTTCCAAATGTAGGGTTTTCAAAGCCTGAAGAGCAAAACCTGGCATCTCTGCTTCTGCACTGTGCACAGCTGAGCAATGGCATCCAGCAGATCCAGAGTATTAAACAAGTAAGACTTCACAATTGTTAGTGTGGTTTTTGGTAGCTGATGGTGTGTCATGTGCACAGTTAATGGGAAATACAGTTCTAAAATAAGCTCTGTAATGTTTTAAACATTTCTGGAAGCAGGTAAAAAGCAGTTGTACTGCTGCACGTGCATTAGGTAGAAAGTAGTTCTAGTACTTAAATTAGCAAGGGCTACAGTTACTGAAAAATGATGGAAGGCAAGTGTTTCCTATTTTCTATGTATGTATTTTTTATATGGGAGATGTTCTTGGAACTTTATTCAACATGTGAAACTCAACAGGATATGGTAAAGAGAGGACAGTTTTGCACCATATACTTGGATGAGGGAGTTCTGCCTCTGTTAATGATGAGCGTGTATCCAGAGGTTTTTGTTGATCTTGTGTTTTGTCGATTATAGATTATGCCATTGGTAAGGAAGATGGATCAAAACTCTGCACGTGATCCCATGGTTAAAGCTTGTTTGGATATTTTGGGAGAGACATATTTTTCACTGGCTGCGAAGAATCCCTTGAAAAAAGTATTAGCAAGGTAAAAAACTGAATAGTAGCCTTTATTTATTTTTTTTTTTCCACGTTCTCCTTACCTAACAGCCAGTAATCTGTCATGCACCACAAATTGCTGTAGTTTAATTACTGAAAATTTGTGATACTAATAGTGAGTATGTATTGTTTTTCTTTCCTGCTTAGTTAAAAATCTTAATTATAAATAATACAATATATCACTGGATAAATAACTTAAAAGTGAAGTATTATTTTGATCTGTTTCATTACTGGAAAGACAACATAGTGTGTAATTAACACTTTTTGAATTTTAAAATCCAGTATTAGAGTAGAAATTTTTAAAATACTTCTGTTAAAAAAAACCCTCAACTCTGACAATGTAAGGAGAAGGCTATTCAGAGGAATCATAACTAAACTGTGGTTTCTTGTGCCTATTTTTATTGCAATTACATTTTTCTGTTGCAAAATTACTGTTGTATTTCTTTAGTGAATTTATTACAGCCTTAACATTTTTAAGATCCAGTGCTTAGCTGTCTTCATTTCTATGTCCGAAAACACTTGTTGTCCCACTGAGAGAAGCAGGGCTTCCATCCTGTATTTGATTGCATGCCAGAGCTTTACACCCCTTTGACAGGTTTTCTAGTTGCAAAATTAGAACGTGTGTGTTTATTTTAAAACAGAGTATGTTTTCACACAAGCAGCAACATCTATCTATTATTGGAGTATTATCGGACATTGACTTTAGTCAAGTGGGTATTTAACACCTCAGTGTAACCTAACTGATCGTGCTGTTTCTTACTGTTACAGTTCACTAAATAGTCTTCCTGAAGAATTTATGACATTAGCTGTACAAAGCTTTGTATGCTGCCTTAGGGAAGAACTGAAAACCACAGACATATATTTGTACAGAAAAGTATTGGACAACCTTGCTTCCTGTATGGAGGACTTCAGCTTAGGTATGATGACACTGAATATATTGTCTTCTAGTTTAACTTGCTCAACATTGGTTTGCATCTTGGTGTGGCACCCAATAGTAACGCTTACATCTTTATCTATGTAAAATAGATAGTATTGGCTAGTATTCACTAGTTAAAATGTATTTTCTTTCCTCTAGGTAGAGCAAGTATTAAAAACCTGTTTGAAGAAGGTAAAGTTGTATTTATATCATAAAGTAAGTTTCACTGTAGATTGTTGAGGGGAGGGTTGTGTATGAAGAAGTAACATGAGGTATAAAGATCTATCAGATGCGATTTCCTCCTGGTTAATTTTTAATAACTAGTACCCTCACATGGTACTTTTTCTGTCAAAGGCTTTCCTTTTTTTTTGTACCTTAAATTTCCAGGGGTCAATCTTGCTTTGCTGAGCAGCCCTAGATATAAATCTGAAAAGGTGCCACTGTATGATTCTTAAAGGGCTGGGGGAGTTGATGCTACTGTATGTGAAGTATTCTATGTCTTCTGCCTCATGGTGAAGTTGGATGTGCTAACACTGGGCTGTTGACAGCCAGTCTTGGCTATAGCAAGCCTAGGCCTGCTGTGGCAAGAATTTTGTTTGGCAATAATTTGGCAGAAGTCTGATCTGCTGGTAATATGGGATATCTTGACATATTGTGCCCTCAGCATGCAGATAATGTTCACAGCTTCCTGTGGACCTTTTTATTGCTGCTCTGGCTTTAGCTCTTGGTAATTTCAGCTTTTCATTGAAGAACCAGAACTCTCAATACCTGACAGGATTAGGTGAAGTGCGTTGGAAACTCTCGTTTTGTACCAGGTTGTCGCAAAACAGCTTGAGGTTTTGCTTTAGCATCACATCTTTGGATCTCCACTGTAATTTCGGTTTAATTTGTTTACGGAGTGGAAGAAACACTATTACATGGATAACTGTTAATTGTGTCTGGGTATGATGTGTGTGTGTGATTGCTTTGCTGGAATTCTTCTGTTCTATTTCTGTTTTAAATAAATTAATAACATAATTATTTTCACTAGTTCTTCAGTTTCTGCAGAAGTCGTTACTTGGCATACAGGAAGAAAACAGGTAAGTGAATTCAATATAAGCTCTATTTTAGCTGTTTTTATTTCACTCTTGCAAGATAATCTGGTATGATTTGGAATAATCACTTTGATAGCCATACATTGATGAAAGATGGGAATGTCATTTTACAATGATACATATTTTAAATAAAAATGGCTGATGAGTTTCTTTTGTGGCAATATGGTGATATAAAATACGAGAGGAAAGGAGGAAAATTAAAGGCAGTAATATTTAAGGCACTGATACCGTTAGAGCTACTACTTTTAAGGCAGGCCTTTGAGTTGTGGTTTCACTATCTGAATTGTGACTGAACACTGTAATTAATAGATGTACTTATTAAAATTCAGGTAAAGTAACACACTTCCACTCTCCATGAGTGTTTAATTCAGTATTGATATTCTGTTTAGTCTGTCACAGTAGTCATCATTTAATATCTTGACATTTTCTAGCAATGCGTAAAGTGAAGCCTCTTCACTGTGGTCTCTCATCATGTATCCAGAGGAGAAGGGTGCTTAATGGAGTGTTTTGTATATTAAAAGTTTACATGTTGTCTGTCTTCATGTTAGAAGAAAGTTGAATGATAGAAATATGCTTTGCACATGGAGGAGCTGCTTGAAAAATGAGAAAGGAGCAGCACTGTGTTCTGTTGGTCTTTTTGGAAAGTTTCTGGAAAAGTTCAGCTCCGCTCAGGCGGAATCAAATGAGTGAAAGTTTGTCACAGGAACCTGCAGAAACTGTAGTAGAATTTGTCATTATGTTTGTTAAGTTCATTTTAAAGCACTGCCATTGAGTCTGCTTCTTGTTTTCCTATAGTTATGTATCTGATCAACTCAAACAATAAATTAGTTTTTACTATTAATTCTATCTGAAGATGTCGGAATGTAGTTTTCTGGGGATGGTGAAGAATGGTTTTCACTTGCTTTTGTGTGTATGTCTGTCATTTTTCCACAGAAAGAATCATGGAAATCGTATTGTTCAGACTCAGTTGATGCACGATTTACTGATAGGCATTAAAGTTTCAATGATGCTTGTACAGAAATTACAAGACAATATCCAGGGCAGTCTTTGGAAATGCCATGAGTCTTTTGTTTGGCAAAGTATGTGTAGTTTACTGAAAAGCTCCACAAACTTCCTAATGGATGGTAAGTTTAATAACATTTAAAACCAGATATTTTTATTAAGTCAGTCATCTTGTCTTTGTAGTAAACACAACCTGTGTGTATGAAAAGTTAGTTAGCTTGAATGGAAATTGAACTGCTGAGATTAGTGGGAGTGGGAACAGTAGTAGGTCTTTTGGCGAGCTATATTTTGTAGATCGTAATTTTGGAGTGTACAGTTCAACTTGTCCTACTACAAAAAAACAAGGTAAATGCTGTTACTAATAATTTAGAAACTAAGAAGTACTTTTGAGACTCACCAAATGTCTATGTCTACCAAAAATTTATATATCTGTATGAATTATGCTGTCAGAACTAGTTATTGGTGCACTATAACTAATTATGTTTACTTCTTATGCAGGTATTTTTGTACAGTAGAATTTTATATATAAATGTCAATAGGCTCTGCCACAGTCCTTGTCTTATTGGGCAATTCTGTATTTTCTATCTGTTAAAAGGTATTAATAGTCCTATTACACTAGAGAATAAATTTGTTAATACTTGCTATCCAGGCAGACACTACAGATTTGTGATTATACAGCTACAAGTATTCTAGGACAATTCAATACCGTCTTTAGAATTTTGATACATAGTTCTAGCACGCAGTGTTTGCTGCACTCTGATGTAAAATGTCTTTCTCTGCCATGTAGCAACTCTCCTGCATACTGTTCAGACTACCTCAGGACTGGCTGTTATTCTGTTTATTAAAGCTATGTATGAGCCAGTTGAAGAATTACCCTCCTTGGTAAGTGTATTTCTTCACTAAAGACTGTGAAATGTCATAGTGTCATTAATCAGTGCTTCCAGTGTTGTTCAGAGGCTTTGCTGATACAGATAGCAGGACTTGCCAGCCTCTGTGTCACTCTCTTGCTGGAGTGTAAATCCTTTATTCTCTCTCTGTCGTATGAAATATTAAGACTAAGGTTTTGAATTTGAGAAAAACAACGTACAAGTAATCTCTTCAGATCTTCCAAGATTCTCGGTTATGCACAAAATCGCTCTTCTCCTGTGCTGAGATACTGTGATGGGTGCTATTTTGCTATTACAGGTCAGCGACTTGCTTCTCGGGTCAGTGAAACATGCGGGTGTGCCAGCGTGGTTTGTGCGGAACTGTGGCCCTCTGTGTACGGAAGAACTCCCTGACTCAGTCCTCCTCTTTCTTTGCCATGGAGCACTGGCTATGCTGGAATGGAAAAATGGCAGCATGGGTGAAAATGGAGAGAAACTATTACTAGATATCGCATCAGTCTTGTTGTCTTTGAGTTCAGAGTAAGCCTGCGTTTTGATTTGTATTGTTTCCTGTTTGGGAGGAAGGGATTGATCTTCTTGCTTGTATTTTTGCACGGCTCATATGGTCCCAGTGGAATATCTCTTTGATGTTTTCAGTGTAATGATACTAGTTTCTGCCACAGATGGTCATCTTTTTAATATATTCAGAATAACTCTAGGAGTTTGAAAAACATAACATCTTGATATTGCATAGATAGTTCTAAGTTACAATTTTCTCTTGCATGCTGAAATGAAATTTTGTTTTTCCCAACATAAGTGGGATTAGTTTACCAACTACCTGATGGTAAGGTGTGGCAGAATCAGTTGTTGCGTAGGCAGATAAACTTTAGTTTCAGGATATCGCCTCCTGTGCTTTTAAAAGTACAGAAGAAAACAAAGTGTGCCAATAAGTGGAATACTTGAAGTAAGATGAGTTTTAATTTTTTTTCTGGTTGCAAGCATTGACTGCTTGCATCTAGTGGACTACCAGCACTATTGGATAGGAGACTAAAATGTGTATTCAGTTCAACCTTTGTTCCTGCCTTGGAGGTCAGTTCTGGGATTTTGTTTTTGCATGGTACTCAGGTTTTATGGTTTTATATGTCAATGAAAAGTTTTCCTTATATTTTCAAGAAGCATGCAGTAACATAATGCTGCTCAAATATTAGCATGTGGATATTAATTTTTATTTTTGTTTTTAAAATTGCAAGTGTAGTGGCTTGTCAGGTTTCTTTTCCCCATATTTAGGGGTTTTAGCTGTGACCAGTTAGCAGCATGTCATACTCTGCAACATCCAATTCATCACCTCTTTTTTGTGTTTGTTCCTTTTCTTCAGTTAATGGCTAATGTCTCCTTAGCTATTTCAGTGTGAGGTAAACTGATGTGATGAATAATTATTTTTAAATAATTAAAAAAAAAAATTGACAAATGCAAATAATGAACTTTTTTGTTTGTTCTTTTTAAAAGGTTGAAAGAATCCAGTATGGCAACCTCTTTGTCTAGAATCCTTGCTATTTGGACTAATTCAGCACTGGCTGCCCTCGTTTCAGGCTCCCCAAATCTAAAAATCAAACTTAATGGGAACTCTGATGTAACTGGGAAGCTGCTGGAATACGTTTATACGCACTGGGAACACCCTCTGGATGCTGTCAGACATCAAACCAAATTGATATTCAAGAATCTTCTTCAGATACACCGAACCACCATTACTGGATCCACTGAAAAATCAGACCCATTCTTTGCAAGGCTGATAAAGCATTTACTAAACTTGGAATGGCATGTAAAAGGGAAATATGCTTCTCTTGGCTGTCTTGTGGAGTGTGTGGGCACTGAAAATATCCTACAGTTGGACAGAACAATTCCAGTACAAATCTTGGACGTGATGAATGATCAGTCTCTTGCACCCTATGCTAGTGATCTTTTGGAAACCATGTTTACAAATCACAAAGCCCATTTTACTTCGAGTTTTCCAGAAAGCACCTGGATTGACCAGTGGCATGACATCTGGGTTTCTCCTCTTCTAGTAATACTGTGTGAAGGGAACCATGACCAAACTACTTACATAATAGATTACTATTTACCAAAATTGCTCAAGTGTAGCCCTGACAGTCTGAGCTACATGATTAGAATTCTTCAGGCTTCTACAGATGCTAATCTAGGTAAGAAAATGAGTATTGTGTTTGTAATTATGATTGTTTTTTTAAATAAAAATCTCAGAAATGTGATTTCTGATGTATTATTATCATTAGAATTAATTTGGGAGAAAAATTCCAGATGGTTATTATTCCTATTAGTATTTCAAGGTGGAATTCATAACAATCATAAGTGTGTCTTCATGCCAGGAGGAAAATAATGAGCATTCTAACTGTGGGTGCCTTACTATTCTCTTTACATGCCAAGCTTTGTTACATATCAGTATTTTTTTCCTGCTATTTTTCTGTTCTGCTGTTATTTCTTACACAGGTGTGTCCAGTAACAGGGCTTTACAGATTGTTTTTTGTTGCAAATATGTGGATACGAGATCTATAATTCTCCTGTAGTTTTTGACATAATTTAGTGTAATTCTAAAATAAGGGCTTGTGAGGCCTTGCAAGGTCCTTTTTTCATATGTAATGTTCAAGACAAAGCTTTTTGGGAACCAGGCGATTTAGAACTAGTTTAGTCTATGACAGACACTGTCTTTTGGGGTTTATGGGGTAAAAAATAAAGGGTGGAATGCGTCATGTGTTGGAAGTATTGGGAGTTTCTGGCAAGCATTGCAATTAGTACATTGTTTGTGTTAATCAAACTATAATTATTACTGGTTTTCATTTTCCGTAGGCTCTCGCAGTACTAGAGGAGCTCTTGGAGCATTAATGGCATGCCTAAGAACAGCCAGGGCTCATGGACACCTGGAACTTTCAAATATCATGAGCAATGGTCTTCTATCCACTGAATGTATAAAACAGGGTCTAGTTCATCAGCACAATCAGGTAAAGGGACAATGTTTTTTTTTGTGTCTTTAAATTAGAAGAATTGCTTTGATCCTAAATACTTTGTCAGCATTGCTTTAAAACAAAGGTATCATCATAGGTGCCTCTAACTTTTGTGGTTAACATCTAAATATCTTTCAGGTTTGCATTGATGCTTTAGGTTTACTTTGTGAAACCCATCGTAGCACGGAAATTGTGTCTATGGAAGAAATGCAACTAATTCAGTTTTTTATGATGTACAACTTGAACAGCCAGTCTCCTTCAGTAAGGCAACAGATATGTTCTTTACTGAGAAAGGTAACTTCAAACTATAAACAATGTCTAATGTGCCTATTACGTTAGTTATATAGCATTTAAAAAAAAAAAATTCTGCTGGCTACGTTATGAAGTTGATCATTTGAAAGAGAAGTAGCTCTAAGACCAGGACTATGTTGTATGTATTATCCAACTGAATGGTGATAAGTCATTGTAGGCAAGGATGGCTTAAACAAAAAATTAAGTGATAGGCACAGTAACTTGATCATGAATGGTAGTGAGTGTTACTTACCTGTCAGTGTATGCGTACTTTACCAACAGCAAAGCAATATGCTGTAGAGTAAGCGATGAACCTTGTGTTGCCTTTGTTGTGGACTGAGAGTGTGCTTACGTTCACTTACCAGACCTCAGGCAAATTCACAGTCACTTGACCAGGCTCAGCAACCTGACTTGGAAGACAAGGTAGAGGAATATTAAGGGAACAGTGTGACATGTGGCTGTGCTGCTACAGTCTGCAGGGACTGAGTGTGTCAACATTGTGGCAGTTGCCAAGGTCACATGTAGATCATGGTAGAAAGGTGTGGATGAAATGTGGAAACCATGTATGTATAAAGAACGTTTTGGAAGATGTTAATGGCAAAAGAAAGCAGTGTGGAAGGAGAAATTAATTAATTAGAGACGGGAAAAATGAGGGAATAGGTTTGGCGGAAGCAAAAGAGAAGTCCATCTCTTTCCATTCTTGTGCAGACTGAGGAATGAGAGATGGAAAAATTGTGTTAGAGGGAGTGTAATAAGAAAGGAAATAATACTAGTGGGTAATAAAAGAGCTGGGGGAAGCAATCCTGAGGTGAGTCAAACTCTGTAAGAGACACTGAAGCTATAAAAATTATATGCATTAATTGAGCTTTTTTTATAGAGGAACATATGTTCCACAGAAAACGGGGGGGTGGGAAGAGAAGACTGGGCATGAATTTAAGGAGGAAGATGGAAGAAAGCGTTGGAGGTGCAGAGGGAGGGGAAAAAGGTTGGTCATAAGAGAGGTGGAGAGCAAAAAAACTTGGTTTTGGAGTGAAGAGGATCTGTTCTGTGGTATACTGTATGCAAACTTTTTAAAAATTACAAGCAATATGATCTGGAAAATAAGTTGAAAATCTCCCTTTCCCTTATTTAACTGTCAATGATTCTTGCCTTACTTATATTTTGCTTTTGTTTTGAAAGTTATTTTGTAGGATACAAGAAAGTTCCCAGGTGCTTTATAAATTGGAGCAAAATAAAAACAAGCAAGAGTTACTTGAAAACTCAACTAAAAGGCATCCTTTGGGGATTTTGCAGCAATATAAAGTAAGTTAGACCGCTAGACATACAGATACAAGAGGTGGGATAACATTTCTGAAAGATAGTTCATTGTTCTTGAGCATGCCTCCGGCTAACTTAGGCTGTGTCTGTATTAGGAAATAGTGCAGTGCAGAAAGAAGAAACTTGTAAAGCAAAACAGTGCTGAGGACCTTGTCCACTCTGTATGCACTTATGCAAGTTAATTTTGACTAATGTACTGTTGTCTCATGAACTGAGTGCCCATTAGTATTTGGAGGGTATCTTTAAGGTTAATTTTGTCCAAGAGCAATAAAAGTTATTTTCTGAGGGATTACTCTGTGATGTGAACTGAAACAGCAGTAAGTCAGGGATGACTGAAGATGCACCCCCAGTCCAAGCTAAAATTTTCAGGTAAATGTCCTGTCAGCTGCTGGCAGTTGAGTAGCAAGTTCTAAATGATGTGTGTTATTTGGGCTTGAAATAGAGATCTGTTGAGCTTCAGCCTTTTTCTAGCTCTCCAGGATGATCAGTGAGAGAATGAATGACAGAGCTGCAGGGCGAAGACTTCTGTATGAAGAATTCTTTTGTATTTGTCCTTTTTTCCTACTTGAACGCTCACATAATCAGTTTTTTTGTGTTAAACTGTTTCTTGTCTTGAGTTCTGGTTTTCTTGTTCAACTGATTTTCAAGGTTTTGATACAATGGCCATCTTTTTGTGGGAGTAGGTAAGGGAAACTTTAAAAAAAAAACCCAAATGATTGTCCAGGCTTCACTGTACTCTAGGAAACAAGAAATTTGTCAGTACTACAAATGTAGGCCGCCCATTCTTCCAAAATTAGCTGGAAGGTCATAATTTTTTGGGTAACGTGTAAAGCAGCATGTCCTGAATTGAGTTTCTTTAGACTTTTGTTTGTAGGGCAGCAAGTAAACTGTCTTAAAATTTTTCTTATGATTTTTAGGATTTCATGTCATCTGTATGTGACAGACTTTTTGAGGTACTGTTTCCCGGTTCATCACACCCAACCAGATTTTCTGCACTAACTATTTTAGGATCAGTAGCAGAAATATTTTCTGTTCCAAAAGGTAAGAAACCTAATTTATAGGCTGTAGGAATAGGAGGTATTGAAGAAGATTCTTTTATGCCAGCTAGTCAATTTCTGTCAAACGGTATTCTTAGTCCTTAATTTCTGTAGCATTTCCTGTGTCAATTTGATTTTACCTGAAGGAAGGATAGTCAGTTCTATTGGAAAATGGGATATTGCAGTAAATGCGAATATTTATGGCCTGGTGAAGATCTTATATAAATGGGGATTTTCTTGCATGGCCTGATTTTTGGCAAGGTTTTTCAATTAATTTTTGTTACTATGAAGAACACTTTTGGCAAGATCCAATATATTTGATAACTTTACCCCCTTTTCCTGTTCTAACATCTTGATAATATGCAATTTAAAATGTTGAGACTGTAAAAACTCTTGATTGAAAAGGCTTACATATACTCATGCTACTATTACACTAAATAAGGAACAATTTAATTGGACAGTTTATGGTGTGCTGCTGTTGTTTTAAATTTACTTCAAAATATTCTGACAACCCCAATTCAAGAAGTATTAGAGCCTTGGAGTATTAAAGGTCTTGCTAAATGTTGTCTCTGGATCATATGGCCAACATAAAAGTATGTTTTCAGTCTTAAACTGTAACTTTTTTTTTTTAAAAAAAAGAAATGAGACATGTAAAATAAAAGTTGCTTTTGAGAGGGAAGAAAAATGCCTTCTTAGTAGATCTTTTCTCAAAACCCCTGGTAAGTCATGAACACGTTAATTTTGTTATTATGAGTTTGTGGTATGTTGTTGCTGCTGTTTTTTTAATAGAAGGTTGTCTTGAGAATTGTTTATAATAGCAGCTTTAGGATTTCAGAGGCTTGACATTACTTCTATAAAGAAGATTTAGCTGCTATTGTGTTCTGTGCTGGAATGTGTTGCACTTGCTTATATCTTAAAATTTCTGGCTTCTTTACAGCATTAGGTCAGTCGCCAGAAGTCATGACTCCTTTAAATTAAAAGCAAAAAAATTGTAGTGGCTTCCATTTTAAGGGATTATTTCTGTGACAAAAAGAACCCCAAAAAACAAACCCCAAAACACACTGAAATTTTAAACCTTTTTTGAGAGGAATTATTTTCTAATAATGCATACTTCCAGGAAAAAAAAAATTTAAGCAAAGCTAAAATGAAGGTTATTTTCAGTGCTGAATTTAATGTGAATAAATGGGATTCTGTTTTTGGCTATAAGTTACTTTCTGTACTACTGAGAGTTGTTTTTTGGATATGGTGACCTTTTTCCACAGTGAACATGGCATTTTAAGACATATTAAGAGACATAAGTAATACTAAAATAATGTTCTAGCTAGTTTTATTTTAATGCTTCTTTTAGTATAGCTAAGCAAAATGTGAATACAGGGCTTATTCTGGAAAGAATTATAGCAAAACTATGTAAGACATTGATTTCTTTGAACAGGCCAGGCACAAGTTTTTCAGTTGGATGAGGAGATTGATTCTACTCGTGTCCAAACTTTGATCCAGTGTTTTGCCAGTACTTTTGAGGAAGTAAAAGTCCTGGCATTTGGGCTTTTGATGAAACTACGTGATGTTGCATTTAATTTACAGGTATGTAATTAAAAATAGTTAAAGGGAGTAATTGCGTGAAAGGTGAATGTTCCATATTATACCAGCTACTTGGGTTAGGTACAAAGTGTAATTCCTGAAAATTAGAAGTCGGTCCAAGTCGCCTGAAGTAGTGTTCATTGCCAGCATCCCCTATATATTTTAACACAGCTTCTGCCCTTACCTAAGGAGGCTTGTTTCACTAATGGATGAGGGAGTTTGGGATGTTCATTGAGTATGTCTATGAACTATCAAAGATATAGTTAATGCAAGCTCCTTGCTTAGCTGTGACTTCCCTTTGTAAATGCTTGAGGCATTTTGACTTGGTTACTCTTGTATTTTAAGAAATTCAGTTCTGTGTTTCTTTTCCTTTCTGATTGGTCTCAGATTTCATTATCTGATTGTCTTCTTTGATTTGACTCTACTGATTTTTCCATTTATTACTTCATAAAAGGTTACTTTTAAATTCGTAAGTACTGGTGAACAAATGTTGTTTCCTGATAAACTATGCTTCTCTGTAATGTCTGTTAGCAGATAAAACACAGTATTTTGAAAAAAAAAAACAAAACAAAACAAAACCCAAACCAAAACAAAACCCAAACCAAAACCATCCTCCTGTGAAGTGCAGCATGTTTGAATACTACTTTATAAATTACTGTCCCCATCCTCGGTGTGTATGTAATTGTATCTTTGCTAAATACATACACATGAATGTTTTGAATGTAAGGTGATCAGTGTACAAAATAAGTTTCTTAAGAAATAGGTACCTTACTGCAAACTTACTGAAAAGCAGGTTCTTAGATTCCAGGGTGCTAAGTAGCTTGATTAAATCAATATGGAAGCTCAATAAAATGAGCAGTTTGGGTTTTTTGCAGGATTCTGAAAATTTAGATCTCCTGTTCCAAGCAGCAATGGATCTTAGCACAAGTACCAAGCCATATGATTGTGTCACTGCTTCATATTTGTTGAACTTCTTAGTACATCATAAAGGATTACAGCAAATTTGTTTAGGAAAATGGGTTGAGCATAACCCCCAGCTGGATGAAAACACTTCATTAAGTACAGTGGAGAAGAACACTTTAGCAGGTAAGCTTTTGGGGAAGTGAACCCCTGTGTTTTTTATATTTATCTGAAACCTTGCTCCTTTTCCTTAAGGCTTTTGGTAGGAGGCATAATGAGTAAGAGATGCTTATTTCTAACAGGAGTTTAAGTATATTTTGTTTTGCTGCTAAGAAGCCACGTGCCTTAGTAAGATCTTAATCTAGTCCTGTTCATGTTGAGGCTATTGAATATTCTTAGAAGATGGCTTTCATTGTTATTTTGATCAGAGGGAAAGTGACATTGAGGCCCTGGTAGCTAGCCTGATAAAGCTGCGCACATGAAGTATGGGAAAGGAACCTCTGCTTCCTCTAGTTGGTCTGTGTCGTGTTCCAGTGCTTGATATTTGCAGCAATGCCCCTTGGAGCTCTGTTCACTTGGAACCATTTTTCTGAGTGGTTTGCAGTCCTGCACATACATTTCTGCACTAATTAGGCTTTGTTCACATGTGGAATATTTTTCTTTGGTTTAGTGCCTCTGGATGAAAGCTGAGAGGCTCTAAAACAGACTTCCTCTACCTTTTGTTATTTGCAATAAAACTAAAGTCTTAAAATTCATTATTTGTAATAAAGCATTGGATGTAATTTGTAGTAAACTCACTATTGTATACTTTTTTGTGCCATTATTGGCTTCTCTACAGATGCCTATTAATACTTTCTTCATATGCAGTGAAATCATGATTTTGAGACATGGTTGTGCCTGCCATAAATGAAGCAAATGCATGGGTAACCTCATGTCTCATTGTTACAGAGATGTAGTTCATTATTTGGGTCTCTGATTTATTCTGATTCTGACACTGAGATGCCGCATGGTATAAATATAAATAAACCAGGCACATGTATCCTTGAAAATTGGGTGGGTTCTTTAGTGGCTAATATAAGATTTAAATATTTAACTGTAAACTTCCAATCTTTAATATTGTGCTGAACGGTTTGTTGTATTAACCTGGCTCTAAGGGTGAAGTCTGACTTTCAGTATGTGGTGGGTAACTTCTTTTGACTTCATCATGAGCTGTGGGATTGTCCCTGAGTATAGGATCAGGGCTGTGCTTTTCACAGCTGCTGTTTGATTCGGATAGACAGACTAAATTGACTATAACAAATACTTCTGGAGTTCAGGTAACTGAAAATCAACAATAACTTTTATTTAAATGACAGAAGAGTGAAAGGTGTGAAGAAGGAAATTGCTGTGCATTTTCCATTGAATTGTTGTGCAAACAGGCTTTGTTCCTATTTCTTTAAAGCAGATTTGTTTCTTAGAAAATACAACATATGTATGTAGGTATAATGCAAATCTGTACTTTTTAAAATTTTAGTTCTCAAGCTTTTGTTGGTGAATGTTGAAGAGGAAATATTTCAAGCTAAGAAGTCTCTGCTTCAAGCAGCAGCATCGTTCCCAATGTATGGGAGAGTGCATTGTATAACTGGGGCTTTGCAGCAATTACCTTTTAAGTAAGTAATACATACTGCTAAATAGCAAGTCGTAACTCCGTATTTAAGCACAGTGGAAGAGCTGCTCAGGAGAACATGAAAGCATACGGTGTTATTTGTAATGAAATCCAGTACCTGCGGCTTTCAGAACTCTTACTGGCTGCTGCACTGTTTAGCTAGCTGTTGGATACTTCCTTTGTATGTGTTAAACTCAGTCTTAAGACTTTTCAAACTGTACCCTATTTATAGTTTTCATAAATACTGTTGTGGAATTGTTTCTCATTTCAGTTCTTTCTTTTAAATATAAAATTATTTTTAATCCATGTTGCTTGTCTTTTGTTTGTGGGTGTTTTTTTGTTTGTTTGTTTGTTTTAAGTAACTTGACATTGGTAGCTGAATGGAAGGAAATGGTGGCCAGGCTGATTCTGATGTCATACAAACTCTCTGCTGTGGTATCACCAGTAGTGCAGAGCTCATCACCAGAGGGTCTTATTCCAATGGACAGTGATTCAGGTAAACAAACAAATAAACAAAACCCTAAAAGAATTCTGTTAAAATCTGGAGCTCCTGAAGTTCTTTCTGTCTTACAGTGATTCAGAACTAGAGCTAGTACCCCTCCCTTTCAATTTCTCATTTTATGTCATAATCTTAAGCCACTCTTTTAACTTCTGATAGAGGTTGTCGTGACTTCTGCACTAAAAAAAAAAACAAACCAAAACACATTTGCAGATTGTGGTGTTGTATCTGTTTCAAAACAGATGACTGTAAAGTCCAGTTTTCTTTCTTCCTTAATCCTCCTAATCACCATAGTTTTATATTTGTTTTTTTACTGCTAATAGCTTTCTTCTGTACTTAACATATCCAAAATTAATTACATTTGTATAAAGAACTGGAAGTAAAAACCAAAACTATCTTAAATATTCCTCTCGTTTAATGTGTAGAAAGTGCAAGTCGTCTGCAGATGATTCTGCATGAGATACAACCACAGGACACGAATGATTATTTTATGCAAGCAAAAATTTTGAAAGAACACTGCAAAGTGGAGTCTGAAAAGCTGGCTGACCACAGGCCAATGGAAAATATTTGCACAGAAATGAGAGGTAAATCCAATGCTGTATTAGTAATTAAATCAAGATAGTCTTTATAGAGCAGGCATTTTACGTGGGTGATCAAAATTGGAAGTTACTTGCTCCGTATAATGTTTCACTTCTTCAATAAATCTGTCAGAAGCTAGTTATTCATGGGTATGGTTTTAAAGACTAATTCACTGTGTTTCTAGAAGATTGTGGTTAATCTCACTTAGAGCACAAGTGAAAATGAGATGTTTTGATATCAGCCTAGACTCCATTGCCTTAACTGCACTGGCCAGGTAATCTTTAACACCTTTTCTGTCAAGCAACGCTTTTAATGCGTTTCTTGTTGAAAGGTGTTAGTGTGATTTCCCTCCCCAGTGTACACAAGACTAGTGGGGAATATATTCATGCAATAAAACTTATTGCATGAAATTACATAAGCAGAAGCTTCTGTGTGAAAGATTCCCGTGGTAAAATGTTGGATAGTATTTGCCTACTTTAATGAATAGCAGCTACGAAGTTGAGCCTTACAGGGATAAAGAAACTGTAAACTTTGGCATATTTAGCGTATACTAGCATAAATTTATAGAATATCTGTACATTTTTAAGTTTAGTAGTTTATGCAAGCTTTTTAAGTCTTAAATATTTGAACTTTCTTTCCTCATGTGTTTTTTTCCTGTGTTTAAAATAGTTTTGGTTGGGCCATACGTTTTCTTTCATGACAAGAAGTCTGTAAATATGTTAAGGTGGCACAGTGGCCACCAGATGGGGCTGTTGCATTAAAAAATTTATGCCTTTGCCAGGCCCCTTCCTATGGGGGCACCTCGGTTAAAAAACAAGTAACATACAATGAGTGATGGATTGATGATTGACATGGAGTTTGTTGCAGCCTGGATACAAAGTTGTAGGTGTTTGTGTAGTTCAGTGTGCAGGTGAATACGAATTGTGACCAAAAGACCTCTACTCTTTAAAATAGAAGTTTCCTGGTGAAATGGTATACGACCGCATTTTCCAAGCGGAATAAAGTAGAGTGAGCGTGCAGGAGTGGAAGTAATTAGGGTCAGCAGAACCGAATTACCTTTTGGGTTAAAAAGTTTAGATTCGCCCCCCCCCCCCCTCAGTAATTTTCGCGCCCCCCCCCCATAGTTAATTGTGTTTTGTAAGAAGATCAGGCTAAATAACATTTAAATTTTAAGTCTGTCTCTGAGAACCTTGAGTTACGCTATTACATTTCTTGATTTTTATTTTTAAGGTAAAGAAAGACAAACATGTGATGTCACAGCCCAAATGGTTCTTGTATGTTGCTGGAGAAGCATGAAGGAAGTATCTCTGCTCTTAGGGACACTGTGTAAACTTTTGCCTTCTCAGGCTGCATCTGAACCTTCAGATGGGCTGATTACTGTAGAACAGGTAGGGAAGTCTTGTTATTATAAAACCTTCACTTTCTGACGGGATGGCAAGGCAGTTTTCTGAAAACTTTTTTCTTAAATCTACATTCTCTATAGGATAAGTATTTTTTTTTTTTATTGCCACGTTCTCATGGTTTTCTTGTTTTATTATACTTGGTTAACAGTCTACTTTTTGATAAAGTGGTGTTCAGAAGGTGTAACTATCGTAGTAATAGAAGAAGTTATACATAGCTAACGAACTCAAGGCATATTCATTCTAATTGTATTGACTTATGAGATGTATGCTGCGTTCAGGGGTATCAATGTGCCTCTCTATGTATGTATTAGTATATATTAGGCATTAATAGAGTTGCTAAAAATCTTCTAAACTGACATATTCAAAGTGTGTTTTGTTTCATTTTGAACTCTAGATGTTGGGATTTTACTTAAAGTTCTTCATTAATGATAGAATCATAGAATTGTTTAGGTTGGAAAAGACCTTTAAGATCATCCAGTCCACCCATTAACCTAACACTACCAAGTCCACCACAACCAGTTAAGGGTAGAGTAGCAATTTTGTGTTTCCTGGCTTGGTGGCTAGATTTTTAATCAAAGTAAAAACTAGGAATCATTAAGATTGGAAAGGATCTCGAAGATCATCAGTCCAACCATCAACCCAGCACCACCATGCCTACTAAACCATGCCCCAAAATGCCACGTCTACCCGTTTTTTGAACACTTCCAGGGATGGTGACTCCACCATCTCTCTGGGCAGCCTGCTCCAATGCTTGACTACCCTTTCTGTGAAGAAATTTTTCCTAATATCCAATCTAAACCTCCCCTGGTGCAGCTTGAGCACATTTCTTTTCGTCCTGTCACTTGTTACTTGGGAGAAGAGCCCAACACCCACCTCACTACTACCTCCTTTCAGGTAGTTGTAGAGAGCGATAAGGTCTCCCCTCAGCCTCCTCTTCTCCAGGCTAAACAATCCCAGTTCCCTCAGCCGCTCCTCATAAGACCGGTGCTCCAGACCCTTCACCAGCTTCATTGCAAATTGAACTTCATAATCAATACTGCAAGTCAAACATGCTGACTAGTCCTAGTCTTGTCCTACATAGGATGCTGAATTATGAATAATTTGGATGTAATGCGACTCTCTTTTTTCCTCCAATTTTTTTGATTTAAGAGATCAGAAATGTTAATATGCCATCTGGGTCTCTTGTAGAATGTTGAGTGTGGTGTTTACAAGAAATTAGATTACCACAGGCATTTATTTGGGAAATATTTTGTGTTTATTAAATTTCTGTTTTTAATTGATGACCTTTTCATTTCCATATGGTTTCAACAAAACCAGCCTCTACATGGAAGATTGAAATATGCAAGGCATACTACTTTTTAACCTGTTTTTGTTTCCAACAGAAAATATTTATTTAGTTTTTCCTTAAGAGTTAGAACTTTCAATCATAAAATAAATAATTGTATAATGTACTGCAGATCTTATTTCTTATGTTATCTAATGTTGTGGTACCATGGAAATAGTGTTAGTATCTTTATCCTTGCATTGTCTCTAGCCTTCACGTTTTCATCTGGTTAACAGCTGTGCTTATATTGTTGCAGAGGTCTGGAGGGTAGATGAGAGAACAGATACGCATTTCCACCATTACGTTCCTTAATCTGCTCCAAGTCAAAAGGAGTTGGTATTTTAGAATGAGTCAGCTCTAACTGTAGCATCTCTATCTTTATTTAGAAAGCCGATATTAGTAGTTGCCCTTTTAGAAATGCTTTGTTATTAAGCAATGTATCATATTTTCCTATAGATGCCTTATTAGATTCTTTATGCTGCTGATGTCTTCCTGTAAAACAGAATGTCTGTGTTCTAATTTGAAGAATGCTGATTGATGAGAAGTCAATTTGAAGTCCTGATTTTCCTCAGGCTTGTATGGAAATACACAAGGAAATACAATTTGACTGAATGTACAACAAATATTATAGGAAAAAACATGGGCATTTTGTTTGCACTTTTTATAACTGGCATTACGCTATTGTGGAAAAAAAGAAAAGAAAAAGGGGATTTCATCATAAATGACTAGAAATGTCAATACCAGAACTGCTGTGGCTTCAGACTTTTATTAAACACTTTTCAGTGTTGAGAAATAAGAGAATTGGATTTTCGTATCTTACGCATGTAGAGCTTTCCCTTAAAGTTGCCCATTCTCTTTCTTTATTCTGTAAGTATTAAAAGAGATTTAAGAATACACAGGAAGAAAACTCAAGAGAAACCTTGATCATATTACCTTGAGTCAGGGCCAAGTAATTGTTGAGAAAAATCTGGTAGCACCACTTGGCCATTCTGTGTCATCCTGTTGCAAAGCCTTCCTCGTTTTTTACCTTGCTTCATGCCTAGGTCAGTAACTGTGTTAAATTGTACCTTATGGGTTCGGTGTTATTGTTGCTATTTATTCACACAAAGTATCATACTGTTGAATTTGCACATTGTCGTTCAATTTTTGCCCTCTTTTTTAATTGAGCATGCAAATGGAAAGGCAATGCCTTTTGGTGCTGGTCCACATTAAGAAATGGCACAGCAGAACTGTGCTTCTTGGTAGGCAGTGGTGTTAGCCAGGTACTTGTGGCCCTAATTCTTGATTCCTCTTTGTAGCTTTTAATGCTGGCGGTTGTTGTGTGTTCCTGTGTAGGAGAAGTTGGCAGAGAGACAGCTCTTGTTTGATACTTTTTTTTCTTACTAGAAGTTGGGATAGTATCAAATTTGCTCTTTCCTTCTCTTTTGACTAAGAGATTGGGTTTGCATGGCATTTGAATGCTGCTGTGCACACTGACTATAACATCTTCAGCTCCTTGGTCTGGAGATGTGTGTATAGAGGAGTCTCAAAATACTGCATTTGAATTGGCAGTCTGCAAAGCCTAAGCCATTTTGCAATGGCTGATTTGCCTTTAAAAATAGACTGTCTAGTGGCTAGTATATCTGGAGAAATCTCTATTCAAATACATATTCTACCTTTCATTTTCCATCTGACCCTTAAAGTCCAGAGATGGCGGGCTCAAAGCTTTGCCTGTTAAGACAATCAATACAAACAGTATTATGGCCTAGTAACCACCATGTAATCAACAAAATAATACCTAATGAAGACTGTGTGTTGATTTTGTCATATGACCTGCAAATCATGAGACAATGCTCCAAGCCTGGAGGAACTTTGAGCTCTTCCTCAAACTCCTGTTTATCTCGCGCGTGAAGTTTTAAGACGATTTTGGGAGATAAGCTTGCCAGAACTGTGTACCAAAGTGAAAAGAAACAGGCAGCAGACGTAAAGACTTAATACTGTCCCAGTGCCAGGGGTTCTGCTTGTGTTAACGCCATAGTCAAAGAGAGCTTATCGGAGCCCTTTCAGTGGAATGTTGAAGTACACAGAAGACTTTTAAGTACTGACAACCCTCGGTAAGGTCCTTGAATACGTCCAGAGGAGGGCAACAAACTGGTGAAAGGGCTGGGAGGAATGTCCTGTGAGGAGTGGTTAAGGACTTTGGGCTTGTCTAGCTTGGAGAAAAGGAGGCTTAGGGGCAACCACGTTGCTCTCTACAGCTTCCTGAGGGAGGGAGGTCCTGGGCTCTTCTCCCAGGTATCCAGTGATAGGACAAGTGGGAATGGTTCAAAGCTGCACCAGGGGAGGTTTGAACTTTAAGAAGCATTTCTTTACCAAGAGGCTGATCAAACACTGGAACGGGCTTGCTAGAGAGGTGGTCGATGCCCCAGGCCTGTCAGTGTTTAAGAGGCATTTGGACAATGCCCTTAACATGCTTTAACTTTTGGTCAGCCCTGAATTGGTCTAGGTGGACCAATTGGACTAGGTGATTGTTGTAGGTCCCTTCCAACTGAAATACTCTCTTCTGATTCTGTTACATTACTTGTTACTTTTTTTGTGCCACCAGTGCAAAAGTATGGCTCCCATTGCTGCTTTGGAGTTTGTTCTCTTCAAGGAACAATTTAAAACAAACCAACAAACAAAAACCCCAGACCCACCAAAAAAACGATGTCTCCCCCGTTCTTAATGTAATCAGTCTATCTCCTCTGGAGTTCAGTATGGTTGGTAATACTTCATTGGCTACTAGTTGTTTCTAACTGTGAGATGCTTCTGCAGTCCTTTATGGGTTTAAAGCCAATGGTTTGAAAAAAATACCCTCTAGAATGTAGGACCCTACTTAAGTGAAATCTTATTGCCAGGAAAATAAGATATGGAGGCACAAATGTACCAACTGCTTCTCAGAGCACTTTTGGAATCTCTTGTACAGAATTTATACCTTGAATACTGAGATTCTTGGTCTCAACAGCAAGTGTGGGCCTGTAAATCATTGATTGTTGTGTTAGTAAGACTAAACTGTCATACTGTAGGTTTTTGACCAAGATGATCAAATGTATTTAAGATATTTGCACTCCATATTTGAATATTTCAACTTGAACTGGGGTGTTATTTGCTGTGCACGCAAAGTTGGTAGGGTTGCCTTTTCTTACAGTGGCTGGGCAACTTCCTGATGTTGTAGAGGATGTGAATTCCTTAACTTGTTCTCCATCCTGACATATGAAGTACTGATTTTATGACACAGGGAAGCTGGACACTCATGGATGGCATGATGCTGCTAGATAAGAATCCATACTTACACACTTGCCTCAGGATCAGTCCTCTGTCACTTGCGAGAACTGAGTTATGGCAGTGCTTTTTCTTCAAACTCTAGCCTGTAGGTGGAAATTAATATATCAGAGTAAGCTGAAGTAAGCTTCTAGTCAACGTGGCTGTTGCAAAAAGCTCAGAAGTATAAACAGTAAA